ATTCTGGGCAAGAATTTTGAAGACAAACTGAAGGTTTTGTGAGTGATTACGAAATAACGGAACGTGTCTATAAATTATAAGCTATTTAAAAAAAAAAAGAAACGTTACAAATGTCTACTGCAGATATACACATGAGTTTAGAATAATCGTCTAGTAGTGTCACAATGTTCCCAGAATCCAAGAATTTTACAGTTTGTGAAAGACGCTTTCTGATATCAAATGTACATTGAAGTACAGCAGCTTCCCTGTACCAGTCTGGACAGTATTCTGTTTCTATCCGATAAACATAATAATAAAGGTCCTGATGAGTAACAACATTTCCACCCTGGTATCAATGACATCATCACTCCGTTCTCATACGTCAATGGTCACACCAGAATCCATATCAAGAACCCAGACTAATAGTGCGAAACCTGCAAGAACCCAACCTTCTGGAAGTGGAACCTATGGTCTCATAAACAGGAGGAGAAAAAAGTTCCATAAGCATTATATTTAGATTTTTCCTGACAAAATGTCTCTAATAATCACCAGTGACTACTTCTACGACTATACATTATATATATATATATATATATATATATATATATATATATATATATATATATATATATATATATATATATATATAAAAGCTATATATTCCACCCTTCAGAAGGACTGAAATATCAACATTCAAAATATCCATTTAAAATCACTGACACATTAGCATTCTATCGATATAGAATCAAGAGGACATCAACATTTACCCCACCCATTCAGAATCCCTGAGACATCAACGTTCATTCAAATTTATTCAGAGTCCCGGAAATATCTACATTCACTTCATCCATTCAGAATCACTGAAACATAAACACTGACACTGTCCATTGACTGACTGACTTTCTACCCGACCTGGACATCACACAAGCGATAAACACCTGATGACACAATGTGCCACCATGTGGGGGAGGATCACCGTAAAGAGGTCCCAGAAACCGCGTTTACCCTTTAGGCCATATTTATGTCCAGGCTATATTGCGGCCCTTGTCAAGAGCCAGAGTAGGGCTTCAAATAAGGAACAAATCCATCCTAAAAATGACGGTAAATAGATAACCTATATAAACACAGTCCATTCTAAATCACTAAGAATGTACGTCAGTCCGTCCATTCTAAAACATTGAGACATCAATATTGACTACATCCATTCATTGTCACTGAGAAATCAACATTCACCTGGCCCATTCAGATTCACGGAGACATCAACATTCACTCCATCCAATTAGCATAGCAGTGATTTTATATTCACCTTAATCTACTTCATACAAAAGTGGAGGAAATGTGTGTTTTGACGTCAGCCACGAACAAAGGATCACACTTTGGGGGAGGGGGGAAGGGGGAGGGGGTGGGTCCTCCAGGGATCACAAACTGGGCACGCAGGCCCGTCTTACAATTGGCCCTTCCAGAAATGCGACTTTCACACAGTGGGGAGGGCCACACACTTTAACTTCCTGGGGGGGGGTGTGGGGAGGGGGGATGTCCTCTAAGGATCACAAACTGGGCACGCAGGCCCGTCTTACAATTGGCCCTTCCAGAAATGCACCTTTCACACAGTAGTTGTATTTGTATCTACAATGTTATGTTTATACAGCAGTTAAAACCAAGCCACACACTTTAACTTCGTGGCTATTGTTCTACGTCTTGTACCATAGGCACACCCACGCACACACACACCCACGCACACACACACACACGCACACACACACACACACGCACACACACACACACACACACACACACACACAAACATGTATACATGCACGTATACATACATACATACATACAGACAGACAGACAGACAGACAGACAGACAGACAGACAGACAGACAGACAGACAGACAGACAGACAGACAGACAGACAGACAGACAGACAGACAGACAGACAGACAGACAGACAGACAGACAGACAGACAGACAGACAGACAGACAGACGGACAGACAGACACACAGACGGGCGGACGGACAGACAGACAGACAGACAGACAGACAGACAGACAGACAGACAGACAGACAGACAGACAGACAGACAGACAGACAGACAGACAGACAGACAGACAGACAGACAGACAGACAGACAGACACCCAAATGCACGACGATAAACAAACACGCAAACACACACACAGACAGACAGACACACATATATATATATATATATATATATATATATATATATATATATATAGAGAGAGAGAGAGAGAGAGAGAGAAAGGGAGAGGAGAGAGAGAGAGTGTGTGTGTGTGTGTGTGTGTGTTTGAATAATGAAACTGTCGCCAACGTTTCACAATAATCTATGATCACCCTTAAAAACTGAAAGTGACTTACTGTTCACAATCAGTTCCTATCACACGAGTCAAGGATGTCATGTGACGTGGCCAGATAACGCAAGTATATCAGCTGTATTCTACCAGTTACTGGCAAGTTGCGTGTCAACTATTGATACACTTGATTGAGTTCGTTACGTTTTTTTTTTAACGCCATATTTTTAAACGGTTCGTTGAATACAGTGTGTGTGTGTGTGTTTGTCCGTGTGTGTGAAGATTTGTATAGGTAAGAATCGGTGGCACAGTGACTAGCATGCATTTATATTTGTTTAGTGACGACGTGTGTTTAAACACCTCTCGTGGCAGCCATTTGTATTGAACCATTAGGCTGGTCTCCTGTGTCGACCTAGTCTATATAGAATATTTGGAAGTTACCTGGAAAGTAAAGGTATCTCTATGTAACTAACATGTTGCTTCAAAGAAATATGCAAGTTGTACAACTATAAAGATAAACAAAGAAAACAAGCAAACAAAACTACTGAAGCTGTATTCTGACATCAGCAATTAATGCCTCCAAGAACCTACTGAAAATGGTAGAGATTAGATATATTAAATGTAAATAAGCATATATTTGTCCATGTTTTCTGAAGGGTTAAAACTGAAAATAAATTTAGTAGCAAAAGGCAAATGATGATTTAAAAAACTGGGAGGGTGTGTGTGTTTGTAGGGGGGGGGAGGGGGTTTGAAGATAGACAAAAATCCAGATGGCCGTTGGGATCATTATTTCAAGAAGATAAATTGGGCACTAATCACGCTGAGCGGTCACGCTTAAAAGACAAGAATTTACACAGATTTCTTTAGAACATAAAGGACATAATCAATACAATCTTTTTCATCAGTGTGTATTTCTCTAGGCGGTCTCCGTGTAACATTATCAGTGTTATCACAGTCATTTCTTCTCAGCTAATCTTTGGAGAAAAAGAGATAAAGAGAGAGGGGGAGAGAGAGAGAGAGAGAGAAAGAGAGAGAGTAGTACAAACGAAAATGTTTCTCTGTCTATCTTCTTTTACCCCACCATGACATTACATAAGCGATAAACACCCGATGACACAAAGTGCCACCATGTGAATGAAGATCACCCGTGGAGAGGTCCCAGAAACCGCGTCTAGCCATTAGACCATATTTATGGCCGGCGGCTCCTGGCAAGAGCCAGTGTAGGGCTTCAAATAACGAAAAACTGCATCCAAAAATAGATAGCAAGATAATGACGAACTTTTTTCCAAAGGGTTAAAATTTGGGCTCGCAGGTCCGTCTTACATTCCGTCCTTTAAAACAAGCACCTTTCACACGGCAATTGTATTTTTTTTATTTTTTATTTTGTAGATCAAGCATTTTTTTAAATATATACTGGAATTCAAAGCATAAATGAAAAGTCAAAAATACAAAAGCATAGAGGGCAAATACAAACCTTCAGATATCACACACAGAAGGCAGACACACAAACGAGATAAAAGTAAAGATACAAACAAAAAGACACACACATACACAACTACACTTACACACACACACAGATACACACACACACACACACACACACGGAGGCGAACACACTGACAACACCCATACTTATACAACATTTACAAACACACACATCACACTCACAAATGCAAAACATATATACAGAAATAACACCCTCACACACTGACACAAAAATACACAGATACATAACACATAATCACAGACACAACACATATCTATAGTCACAAACCATACACATGCAGACACAGGCTATACACACAGACATGGTACACGCACGAAGAAACACCACATACACAATAACACAATATACAGACACAGACACAATAGATATACACAATTACAGCACACAGGCACCACAGAAACACACAGACGCAACACAAGCACACCATTTACGCTGACATAAGAGACACACAGCCCTAACAAAACACAGCAGCAACGCACACACAAGCACACATAGACTCACGGACACAACACAGACACACAGATTACCTGCACGAGCGCGCACACACAGGTATGCACACACTCACACAGACACACACATACACACACATTATATATATATATATATATATATATATATATATATATATATATATATTTAAATATTAACCTTGATAACTTTTATAAATTAGCGCTAATGTGTGTATGTGTTGCTTTATTTATTTACTTACACAAACATAACTTATCAGTCGTCCCCTTGTAGGATGAATTTTTTTTTTTTTTTTAAGCTCTACCGCGGCTTTTGCCGGGAGCCCTGAATGTAAAAGTAAAGTAAAGATCCCTTTACACGAACTTAGGCGCATCGGGCATATGGGAAGAGCGCCCATATTTTTACAGACCAGTAGGCACTCGGTGGGTAATGTAACCAGGCCATAAATATGGCTTAGCCATAGGTATGGCCTAACAGCTGAAAGGGGTTTCTGGGACCTCTCCCCGGGTGATCCTCTCCCCGGGTAGCACTTTGTGTGCCCTAGTGTTTATCGCTTGTATGATGTCCTTATTGGGTACAACTACCAGCCATCCTTTTTTTTTTTTTTTTTTATTCATCGACTTGAGTTGTATTTTCTCCAGAAGACAGTCTATAGACAGTTCAGTTCAGGTAATATCTTTTATATTTTCCCTAAAGCTCCGGAACTTACTTAGGGCTTTAAGACATTTCTACCATGGCTAATCAGACGACGATGGAAAGAGACCTTTTGTCCTGCAGCATCTGTTTAGATCTCCTGAAGGACCCCAAGACACTCCCCTGTATGCACAGGTAACTGAATATTCCTTCTACTTTCTTTCTACATAACGATTAGCACCTTTCCATCTTTTAAGACGATAGTGTTATATTGCGCTATGAGGAGGCATGAGACTTACAACCCATGGTTGTGTAAAAAAAAAAAAAGTCTTCCACAATGATAGCATGGGATTTCAGGACCATTGTTATCAAGATTTGTTTTGAATCCGTTTCTGTTCAGAAGCTTAGCTCTCATCCTTTCTGCGATCATTTCTTCCTTCAGTCCCATTCCCTCGCTGATATACCCTTTCCACACATCACGGTCCATGACATTTTGTTCCCATGAGTCTAACTCAATACATCTATCATTCATGTCCCTCTTGCACACATCTTTATACTGTAGTAGAGGTCGGCCTCGACATCTTCTTCCTGTCTTTAATTCAATATAAAGGATGTCATTAGGGACTTTGCCATCCTCCATTCTCCAGGTGTGACCCAGCCACCTGAGCCTTCGTAGACTGAGCATAGAAAAAGCTGTTGTAGTACCTAATTTTTCCAGTACCTCAGTGTTTGTAATTTTGTTCTGCCACTTAATGCTAAGTATTCTTCTTAGGCATTGTATGTGAAAGCTGTTAAGCCGTCTCTCTTGGTGCAAATAGGTTGACCAAGTTTCACTGCCATAAAGCAGAGTGCTGAGAACACAAGCCTGATAGACAAGGGTTTTTGTTTTAATTGTGAGCTTTCTGTTATCCAAAACTCTCTTTGTCAATCTGCTCATTGTTGTTGCTGCCTTACCCATCCTGATGTTGATTTCCTGGTCCAGCGATAGATTATTATTCACTGTGGAACCTAGATAAGTAAAATGGTCTACTGTATCCAGCTTCTCACCGCCAATGTAGACTGTAGGTCTGTCACTAACTCCTTGCACCATAACTTTTGTCTTCTTTTTGCTGACTGTTAGTCCAAATTCACCGCACGCAACAGCCAAGGCAGATAGTAAACATTACAGCTCCTCCTCTGAGTAGGTGGTTATTGCAGCATCATCTGCAAACAGCAGCTCTCTGATAAGTACCTTTCTTATCCTGGTTTGGTGGGCATTCAGCCATCAAACATTGTAGCGTAGCACAACGATATAGTGTTGTTTGAACTGGCTTTCACTCCTGTGCATGAGAAATGACACCTCTGAAGACCATTGACTTCAAGCCAGTAAAAAAGCACTTCTGTGCAAACAAAATGTGCCCAAATGGTAGTTATAAGAAGTTTGTCGTAACTTCACACTGTGCCGTATTAAGTAGGTTTATCTGCTAGCACTAATTTTTTGAAATTCTATTAAAAAAATATCTGTCTAATATTATCAGCCGTTTACATTTCATCCATGTGAGTGATTGTCTGTCGTTGGGGCTCCTGAAAACGGGTGTTCCCAGTGAGCTGTAATGCTGTTAAGACAGCCCTGATAAGTGGTATAGACTGCCATCATTGGGGTGTGTAAAGAACGAGGCAGATAACAAGAGTTAAACAACGCACACACGAAAGCGGGCAATATGATAAGGCCACGAAGAGATCTAGAAGACAGTGGAGAGATTACATGTGCAAACCCAAACTCGTGGAGTTCAAAGCTAGACAGAGACAAACATTTAGAAAACTAACGAATGAAAGAACAACTAAAAGGTATATTTTAAAGGATTAGGAAGTGAAATGAATGAAGGCAGGTGGATTCTGCAACAATGAATCTTAAAAGTTCAGAATGCTGTAGAAGTGCATGAACTGTAGGCAATTAGGCAAACAGATAAATGTATCTCTAAATGATACGGAAAGGACAATTCGAAAAACAAAAACAAAAAATACTGCGATAACATGGACTGGTGGAAGTATATTACATTGGGATTACATGAAGAGGTGGCAATAAATAATACTGGGGTGACATGAAGTGGTATAAGTAAAAAATATTGTGGTTACATGGAGTGATGACACCACATACCTAATAACTCTGAAGGCGGTGAAGTGATTATTTACAGGCGATATTTGCTGTTTGCTTCATAAGTATTCTAATCTATTATTTACCAAGCTTTTTTTATATTTTGTATAATGACTTAGATTCTGCCAGAGCTGTCTTAACGGTCACATCGTCGCCTCGACTGCAAGAACTTCGCCTTCTAGGCCAGGTTTTTCTTGTCCTGTGTGTAGAGAATCCATCAAGGCTCCAGACGGCTCTAGCAAACCTTCTACCTGGGCTGGTCTGTTCAAGACAGATTTTATGGTTAAAAGTATGGTCGAGGTCTACCAATCAAAACAAGTTGCTGATGCCCCGAAAGGCAACCATCCTTGCCCGAAGCACATGGATAAAGAACAAGAACTGTACTGCTTTGACTGCTCTACAACTGTCTGTCATCTGTGTGCGGTTATATCCCACAGGGCATGTCGTAAGATAGGCACAGTGACGGAAGCTGCACAACAACGTCGAGCTACCTGGCAAGGATACTTAAAAAAAATTCCACATTTGATAAACAAAGCTCTAGAGACTGATAAGTTAAAAGAAAGTTATATGAAAGAAATAAATAAAAACAAAGTCTCTGTTGAAAACAAAATCAAAGAAACAGCAAAGAACATATGCAAAATTGTTACAGACGAAGAAAATAAACTTTTGAAACAGGTACAAGGGAACTATGACAACCTTCAACAAACAGCTGTGACATTTAATGAGCAGATACAACATCTAATGTCATCGGTAACGGAAATATCGACAAAGTTATCATCATCCTCAGATTTCGATCTAATGGTAGAGAAAGATATTTCAAAGACTGTTGAGTCATTCAGTAAACACAACCAAACTGTCAACAAAGATTACCGCGGTTTCTGTGAGGCCCTTCCCTCCGTGAAATGGAGTTTTCAGGAGCAAACTATGTTACGAGTAAATCTCGGCACCCTTCAATTTACGTGTAGTGCCGCTGTTCCTAACCTCTGCACATTTCCAGGGCCACAGATGCGACCAAGTTATGGGTGGGCAACTGGCAGATTTCCTTCACAGAGACAATTATATAGCAGCGAACAATGTTCAATGGAGAACGCATTTTCAAACACACATTTAAACAATTCCCGTAGTCTTCTGGGTATCTCCATGAGGTTCAACACTGCGGAGACAGAGGCGGACACAGATTCAGACAGCTACAGTCACAACTGGAACTCACCAATGGCTTCTGAAGATGAAGACCTTTATGATTAAAGCAAGTTCTCCAACTAGGTCACGTTTACTCCAAAAATCAAGCCCTTTTTTTAACTCTAACAAATATAGAGATCTTCGCGAAATGCAGATTTCAGTCGAACAGCTTCTTTTTTTTTTTTTTTTTTTTTTTAATTAATCTGCACTAATAAATTATCTAACTAGAGAGATATGAAAATCTGATTTGTGGGGGCGATTTAAACGTATGTGTGACCTGTACATTTTTAAGAAAAAAAAACACTGAAAAACAAAATACTAGACTTTCTTGTGATAGGATCCAGGTGTGCTTGCTTAAAGAGACACGTACACAAACCTCGGAACTGAGGAAACGGTCCTTTATACGCGCCCAAGAGAACAATTCCAATCTTAGATCTCGATTCAGTAGTGTACTCCTGGAGACATCAACCGGACGAGACAGTAGCGGCTGTATGAAGCTTCAAACAAATCCCGCTTGACTGAGACAACCATACGAGTAAAAATAAAGTCAAGAATGTCATCATTGTTTCAGAGTAGAGCATAACAGCATCAACAAGCTGGAGAGAAATTATGTCCCCTCGTTGAGCTTTCTAGAAGCAGACAGAAACTAGCAAAATTGTGTATTTGCATTTTAAAGTGTAATCCATGTGTCTTTACTGTACCAGTATTTGTTTTTCTTAAGTCGTGTATCTAGTTATCTTGTCATTCCTTTGTAGAAAGCAATTTTTGGTTACTTGAAGCCCTTTTCTAGCTCTTGCCAGGGGCCGTAATAAAGCCCAGCCATAAATATGGTCCAGTGGCTGAACGCGGTTTTTGAGACGTCTCCACGGGTGTTCCTCATCCACATGGTGGCACTTTGTACCTTTGGGTGTTTATCGCTTGTGTGATGTCCTGGTGGGGTAAAAGAAGATAGACAGATGTATCTAGTGTCATGGTGGATTCGTGTTTGCTCACTTTTTTTAGCTTCCGTCAATATTATTTACTTATTTTTCAGCAGCCAAAAAAATGTTTGGTGTACAAATTATATGTGGTTATTTGCTGTCGAACGATCCGTTCTTTCGTTTTTTTTTTTTTTTTTTTTTTTTTTTTTTTTTTTTTTTTTTTTTTTTTTGGTGTGAAATAAGTTGTTGTTTTTTTTTAATATTCCTTATTTAAGTTAATAACAAAAAACATTGTTTTAAATTTCTTATTTTGTCATAATCAATGTCAGCTCAACCGCAAGAATTATCATCAAATGTCCTATCGCATATGTTTCATACCCATTATCCAGGTGACTTTGTCGAACAAACAACTAGGAAATAATACTGAACAAGGAAGACAGAAGTTTCCGTTTATTTTAACATTAAGCATTGCGTGTTCCGAAACTAGAAATTGCAAATTTGTCATTGCGAATAACTTTTGATACCTTGTAAATGAAAATTACAGAGACCAAATAAGCTAACATATACATTTCTCATTTCTCAGACAGACCAAATGGCTGTTGTCTTCCAGGATAAACGCAGGATCTGACTTGTGATCTGGATACCTGGAGAATTCATCATCATCGTCATGAAGTTCAGAATTTAGCAGTGAGTCTACGGATGGGCTTGTGTCACTTTCACTGGGTACGGAGCGTTCAAATTCAAATTCTCTTTCGTTGACCACTTTCAGCTAGGTCCGCTCACATTTCTGCTCACTTTCCTTTCAGCTATATTTGTGGTGACGTTTTCTGGTCATGATCTCATTTGATTTTGGATTGTGTTCAATATTGTTGCTTTCTATTTGTTGTGGTTTCCGCTCTTGCTGTTGCCTTCGTAATTTGGCTGGCCCTGTGCTGCGCTCAAGATGATTGGATGTTGCGGAGCGTCCAAGTCCAAGTCCTTTTAAGAAAAAAAAAGAAAAGCTCGACCACGTTCAGACTGCTGCTAGCTAGCCTAGGCTGCTAACAGTCTCCGCCTATATTTGTGGTCTGGGTTATTTGCGTCACTTTCGTGACTGAATACTGGTGTTTGTGCCATTTCTGGCTTAATGCTTCCCTCCGTATCAAATCGCTCGTCCTGTTGTCACTGGTGCAAGTCTTCCTTCTTCATTCGTGGTGTTTCCTGTTTGTTCTGTCTCCCTTTGATCTGGCTAGGCGTATCTCGAAGGAGAGCGAGCTTCCAAACACAACGACCTTTCGGCCACCATTTATTGTTTTAAAATTTTGAGTATTTTAATTTTCCAAAAAGTACTGAAAACAGTTTTTGAATGTGAATAGTTCCGAAATGTGAAAATTTTCCGTGTATGACCATAGTGGTCTTATAGTTGTCTTCCTGTAATATGAACGGGTTAGTCATGTATTGGATATGTGTGTGGGAGTTTGTATGGAGTCTTAAGCGAGTCCAGTCGTCATTTGTTATTATGTGATCGGGTTGTGTTGATAGCTAAGCTCCGGTGTACGTAAATACCATATAACCGGACCTCCAGCTCACGCTTTGAGATCCAAATGATCGGCGATGAGAATTGTTGTGGCATGTTGGGCAACGAACTCAAGTGCTCTCTGTGGGAATGGGTTGGGGGGTTAAACTCATAGTGCATCCGAAAGTTTTAGGGAAAGGTGGGGGGAAGGGGAGCGGGAGGCCATTCAGTCAATTTGGACATTGGGAACAAGTGCGGGTTGGTCCGGCGTAGAAGGAAGCAGACGTTGCTGTGAGCTTGAGCCAGTCTCTCTTCACAGAATTCTTTCGACGCTAGTCTGATTCCTGATGGCTGGAATTTCATGGGTCTATTCCACGGACGTACATTCTGCTGTTGACTATGACAGGGGAGGCAAACAGACCTGGACGCTCCTGTCTGGGTTATGCCTACTAGAAAATATGTAGTTTTGAAACAGTAGTAGTAGATTTTTACGCCACCAGGACATCACACAAGCGATAAACACCCGATGACACAAAGTGCCACAAGGTGGATGAGGATCACCCGAGGAAAGGTACCAGAAACCGCGTTCAGGCACTGGACCATATTTATGGCCGGGCTATATTGCGGTCCCTGGCAAGAGCCAGGGTGGAGCTTCAAAATAACGAAAAATTGCATTTCACAAGGGGATGACCGGATTGCGATTTTAAAACAGACAAGACAACCTTGATGCTTGACTGATTGGGTGTGTTTTGCTGTTGACACAAAAACCGCATATCCTACAGCAGTACCAGATTACAACATTATTGATTGATTCTTGGTGCCCCAACTCATCTCTGAAGATTTGTGGAACTGTTCGATGAACGCGACAACGGTGAGTTTGCTGCTTGGAGTCTGAAAATATTTGCGTAGTGGTGAAGTTTCTGTTCAATCGTAGAAGGGAGGGGACTATTATGATGACGGAGGGAAAATGTATGAGTTGCTCGTAAAACTGCATTATCTACAGCATCGTCATCAATAGCAAGCGCCTTACTGACATTATTATCTCTGGGTTCTTTTAGTTCAGCGGCTCTTAACCGCTACTTTTTGGGGGGAGGGAGGGGGGTCGAGCGACCCTTTCACATGGGTCGCCTAAGACCATCGAAAAACACATATTCTTTGAAGTTATGAAATAATAAAGAAGAAATGTGTATGCTTGGGTGTCGCTACAACATAAGGAACTGTATTAAAGGGTCGCGGCATTAGGAAGGCTGAGAGCCACTGCTTTAGGTGACTTAAGTTCAGTCCCAGTAGAATTGTTTCCACCTGCGTGGAGATAAAACGTCGTTTGGGCAATAACTTCAATGCCTCCGTTTAGTTAGATATGGTGATTTTTGTGGATAGAGTGCAAAATGCGATATCAAACATGTTCTCATGCAGGTATGTCACACGTAGCTAGCAGGTGTGTCACACGTAGCTAGCAGGTATGTCACACGTAGATAGCAGGTGTGTCACGCGTAGCTAGTAGGTATGTCACACTTAGCTAATGATTGCTGAAGGATGTGTTCAGAGTTCAGACATCAAACACCAATGGATACTGAGTCTGTGTGACAGAATTTGAGATACTGTGAATGTACCAATAGTTCATGAGGGGCGCCACCTCCCACCCACGCTGTTTTAAACCAGGTTTTGTTTTACAAGTGATATTTTATTTGACAATATATGTGTTGTGAAAATCACAACTTAAATCTTAACATAGCAAAAACAAAAATAATGCATGCAAATGAAACTACTATGGAAAAAGAACTATATGTTAAGGAGGAAAGATTGGAGGTTGTACAGAATTTCGAATATCTTGGGTCATTGATTACCTAAAATGGTGAGACAATGAAAGAAATTAAGTGACGACTTTCAATCATCTTCAAAGACTAAAACAACTGAAAAAATTATGGAGTGGGACAGACAGAACTATACAAATTAGGTTTCTAGGGTTCTGCAAGGGACATGCTACTGACTGACTGAAACAAAGCGTTGTCATATGTTGAAAATGTAATCGATTTAGATACTTGCGTATCCTGTACAAGACGTTGCAGAACCAGCCCTAGCATTTGTTGACTGTTGTGATTTCACTAGGGCAATTTTAAGTTTAGTAGTTTGCCATTGCCATCTCAACGGTGGGCTTTTAATACACTGCCAACACTAAAGCAATGATGTCTGCTGCCGCGCCTTTTGCAGCTGGGATCTAACCCAGCCCTTCGAAATTAGAAAGCGAGTTGGCAACGCCTAAGCCACTGACAACCGTGGTAATCGAGGTAGGTCTGCAAACTGTATCAAACGATAAACACAGAGACCACTTTATGAATTATAACGGACGGTGATCGGGACGGTTAGCTAACTAGCCCACTGGGGACAGTCAGAATTTTGGCGTAGTCTGGTTTATAATACCGGAGGGTACACGAAGTTGGAGATGACGAGTTAAATCGTGACAGAAGCACGTCACATAAGAACATTGCGAAGAACAGCTGAGAACAGTGCAACAGTTCACGTGACTAAAGGCTTTCATGTAACTGGGATCACAGGACTATTCCCGCGTGTGTGTGCTGAGTGATTCTTTGAGTATGATCCGGCGGGTTGAGGCAGGCTGGTTACGCAGAGAGTGGCTTGAGTATTGCAAA